GTTTTAGGTCTAGAGTTGTGGGTCCAGTTTTCAAAAAATAAAATAAAAGCCTCTAAATTATTTGCAGAACAAACATGTTAACATAAGAAATTCAAGCTGGATATTTTAGTTTTTTTATACAGCTGAATCAGACTTAACTCAAAACCCAAATTCATCACCAAAACAGAATACATCTAGACACATAGTGAGTAAACTCAGTCACAGACTATACATCTTTGATTGTTTAATTGTGGTTTTAACAATTTGTCTAATGGTTTGGATTTGTTATATATCTCTCTGAGAAATTACATGGATATTTAAGATTTAGGTCAGTAATCTAGAGCAATATCATTCTGTGTATGTACATGTTCTGCATTTCAACACTTTTGTATTCACAGTAAAACTGCTGCTTTATTGAATCTATGAATCTCTTGGTTTTGCCTACTGTATCAGTTGCAGGTGTTCCCACATACAGTAATGTTTTTGGTAGATAATACCTTTTGGTTTGGCTAAACTTTTATGTTTTTGAGTTCAAAGTAGGTGTGTTTTTGTAAAGCGTCTCAGAAACTTTGTATCACTGGGTCTTTCCAAAGAGCACAGTAATAGAGAGCTGAATCTTTCAGAGTGGCTGCTTTAATAATCAGTTCAGTGGATGTTCTGGTTGTTGAAGATTCAAAATGAGGATCTGGTATATGTTTCCTGCCATCTCTTGACCGTGCACCTTTCCACAGTATATACTGTGGCTCACTGTTAGGATACTGTCTGTACCAGTAAAGATCAATGTCTTCACTGCTTGTTTCATATGAGCAACTCAATGTCACCCGGTTGGTTTCATCTTGAATAATAACAGCTTGATTTGGTTCAATGCGATCACCAAGAGCAACTGTAAAGGAAGTAAAAAGTGGTATGTGAAAAAGATAAATATAAATTTAAGTTTTGAAATTATACATTAATATTCCTAGAAATTCATATACATTTTACATTAAATACCTGATGCAGCTATTAGTACTAGAATCAGTACTACTGATCTCTTCATCCTGAATTTACTGATCAGCTGTGTATACTGTTCACAATCTTTTAAAGTCACATCCTATTGCTTGTCACATGTCAACTTTGTACACATGCTTATGATGTTAAGCATCATAAAAAGTGCTGCCCCCTTGTGGCATTTGTGCACACTCTCTGGTCTCATAGGTTGATCTAAACCAATTTGGTCTCTGTTTAGCGCTGAGTAGGTTTTTGTATGGTGTTCATGCGTTTCCTGCCACTGTGGGCTGCAGTGCGCAGTAATACGCAGCAGAGTCCTTCACATCTGCAGGAACGATTTCCAGATTCACCGTCTTGTTATCTTTATTAACTGAAGCTGTCAGCCGAGGATGAGGAGGTGTAGCCGTTTGATTTTGTCCCGACTCCATGATTAGAACAAGAAATTCCGGCATAGAGTCAAGATCATGTCGATACCACTGTAGATTATTCATTGACACAGTGTACTTGTATTTACAAGAGATCGTCACTTTTTCATTGACCTTTGCATGGACTACAGGAGATGTTGGGGTAATGCTGTCTTGTATACTCGCACCTGAGAAGAATGTTGAAATTGAATTTTAAAGAGAGTCAAATCAAACCACATTTATTTGTATAGCTCCTATTACAGATTGTTTCAAAGGAGCTTATCAGAAATGAACAGGAAAATAACAGTGTTCTAAAATTAATCAATTATCAAATGACTTCAGTTTCAACTGTAAGCAACTCTACAGAAGACATTTGTCATTATTCAGCTTGAGTCCGTTCAATGTTGATTCAGTTGAGCACAGTAACTTTGCAAAGCAACTAAAGTTTGCATCAAATATGCACTTCTAATCTGTAAAGAAAGGAAATGTATCTATAGAACTGAAATCTTACCAATGAATGCCATTAAAACTAGTAGCAAACAGAAAGCCATTGTTTAAAATGATGAATTCCTCCTGAGCTTTGCAGAACTACCATAACAGCCTACATACAGACAACTGAAGCTAGTGTTTTTTTAACACCCAATCACAGTGCAGTGATGTCTCTGGCAGGTGTCACCAGATGCTATAGACTTCGAGGGGCTGATACAAACGCATAAACTGATGTTCTTGTGATTTTAAGTAAAAAATTTAAGTAAATCAATATAGCTCGCTGACTTAAAAAGCCACTGTATGTACTGTATGTTTACCAGCTTGAGAACATTTTAAATAAAGTGCTGTGTATAAAGCAAAACAAAACATCCAAATTTAATGTGACAGATATCAGGTTTTTATATTTGTTCTTTTCGGTTAGGTTTATTTCATATTGGTAAGACAATGGACAGGAGTTTTAATATATGGCCAAGTTTTTATTTTATTTTCAGTAATGATGTTAATCCGATGTATTAATATTATATAACAAATATTTTAGTTTCATTACTATATTTTATTTTTATTTATTTAATCTTAAGATATTACGTTGATATACCAAAATGTATAATTATGTAATATATATAATATATTGTATGTAATGTTATTTTACGCTATGCATAAATGTTTTCATATTCTTTTGTAATATAATGCTAACTATTTTATATATAAATACTATATATATATATGTATGTATATGTTTTATAGAATATATTATGAAGGGCCGAACAGGAAATAATTATATACAATCTGAATATATAAATGTAAATTGTGAATATATAGATATAAATCAGAATATATTTTTATAATTCTAAATTTATACATGTAAATCAGAATATATAATTTTAAGTCTGAATATTTGGAAGTAAATCAGAATATATATTTATAAATCAGAATATAAAAATAAAAGTCTTAATATATATAATGTAAATCATGAATATATTGAAGTAAATCTGTCTACATATCACAATTTATATTTATATATTCAGTTTTACTTCTATATATTCATGATTTACATTTATATATCAAGAATTTTATCTTTATATTCGGATTTACATTTATATATTGTGATTTAGAAATATTTACTTCTATATATTCAGACTACGATTTGCATTTATATATTCAGATTTATACAAATATATTCTAATTTTCTTTTATATATTTACAATTTACATTTATATATTCTGATTTTATATAATACTTTCCTGTTTGGCGCTTCATAATATGTATATACAGGTGCATCTCAATAAATTAGAATGTCGTGGA